AGGGTTTCCGAGGGTGTAAATCCTTACGGGAGTAGAAAGCCTCATCTTTCTCCCGGGGAGCGGCTGGTAGTTTCGAACCGCTGACCTTAAGGTTCGCAGCCCGATATACACATATGTATATTACTATATGTTATGAGTGCTGATGAGTTGGTCCCAACTCATAGCAGCCATGTATAGGGTTTCAGCTGGTGAGTTTGAACCTCCGACCTTGAGGTTCAAACCAACCTTATGGTCGAGTGTTTATTCTACAGCACCACACCAGAACTTATATATATGTTGCTGTTAAGTACCATAGAATCAATTCCAACTCACAGAGACCTTGCATAGAGTTATCAAGGAGTGGCTGGTGGGTTTGAACTGCCAACCTTGTGGTTAGCAGCCCAGTGCTTATCCTATAGAACCATACCAGGACTATGTGTGTGTGTGTGTGTTTATAACAATCTTGTTTATAAGAACTCAAAATTGGAAACAATCCAAATGGCCATCTAAAGAAGTAAGGGTAAATTAATTGCAATATAATTATACAATATAGTATTCCATAGAGGGAGCACAGTGGCTAAAAAGGATAAGCACTGCACTGTGGACCACAAGATTACTGGTTCGAGCCCACCAGCTGCTCCACAGGAGAAAGATAAGATTTCCTGCTCCAGCCAAGACTTATAGCTTTGTAAACCTTAGCAAGGGTGGGAAAATTTTTTTCTGCCAAACTTTGTAACATCATTGAGGGCTATAAAAAAAAAATTTTTCAACTTAAAAATTAGCCTGCATTTCAACTTATAAAATTAGCCTTAAAAATTTGGCCAAGCATTTAATTAACTCAATCCTAATGTGATGGCTAGAACTGCGGTTGCCTTGGCAGTGCCAAACTAAATGATTTGCAGGTCTGATATGGCCCATGGGCCGGACGTTCCCCACCCCTGCTATACAGGGTGGCTATGAGTTGGAATTGACTTGACAGCACTTAACAACAACAACAATGGTTACACAACATTGAAAATGAAATAACTATATCCAACACTATGAATGAAATTCACAGGTATGAGAGAAAGCAGAGAAGAAATGTACTCATATGTAGACAGACATCTCAAAGAGCTGGCATATAAGATTGTCCCACATGATACATGTGGAGTCTAAGAATTGGCTCAAATGGCAACTTTAAAAATTTTTTAAATTTACTGTTATTATTTTGAGAAGTAACTGGGGTGAATTCTTTAATGGATTTTATATTTTATTTCAACAAATTCGTACGCTTTTGTGGTGGTTGTTATTAGGTGCTGTTGAGTTGATTCCAACTTATAGTGGCCCAGTGTGATAGAGTAGAATCCCATGACCCTTGGGATTTCCTAGGCTGTAAGCACTAGACTGCAAAGTTGGTTTGAACTGCAAGGTCGGCAGTTCAAGCTGCTCCTTGGAAACCCTACGCAGGGTCGCTATGTATCAGAACCAACTCTATGGCACTTAACCACAACAACACAACAATCTTTACAGAAGCAATTGCCGTGTCTTTTTCTCAGAGCCACTGGGTGGCTTTGAACCTCCAAGTTTTTGGTTAGTAGCTAAGTGCTTAAACATTGCACTACCAGGGATCTTTGAATATACTTTACCATAGCTAAAACCAGCTGTGGCTGGCATGCAACTCCCCATCAGCCCAACTGGGTAGCGGAGACGGCTCATGAGACCTAGGGAAAAAGAGAAATGATGTTTCCAACTTAATATTTGCTTTTTTCCAGTTTGAAAAATATTTTTCATAAAATAATACATGTTCATTATACACGATGTAAAGAATCCAAGAAAGCATAAAGATAAAAATAAAGATCGCTTACAAAAGCTTAGCATCCAGTGGCACCTTGTTATCATTTTGGTGAATACCTTTACCACAATCTTTACAAGTTTATTTGAAAGCATATATACATGTCAATATGTTTCACACAGAGAGTGTCCTTGGGTGGTACAATTAGTTGAACACTCAGTTATCAATTGAAATCTACCCAGAAGTACCTCAAAAGAAAGGCCTGGTAATCAACTCTTGAAAGATGACAGACATGAAAATCCTATGGAGTGCAGTTCTACCCTAAAGCATCTAAAACATACAGTCTTGCCATGAGAAAGAATGGACTCAATGGCAACTGGTTTGGTTTTGTTCTTGTTCTTTAGTAGGAAGAGAAAAGCAAGGACCTAGAGCAGAAATAAAGAAGCCCTAGTGATGCTGTGGGTTTAGCATTGGGCTGCGAATCAAAAGGTCAGCAGTTCAAACATACCAACCACTCTGTGGGAGAAATAGGAAACTGCCTGCTTCCATAAAGATTTACAGCCATATGGCAGTTTGACTCTGTCTTGCAAAGGAGCTCTGGTAGCTTAGTGGTTACGAATCAGCCTGCGAACTGCAAGGTCAAGGTCAGCAGTTCGAAACTACCAGCTGCTCCATGGGAGAAAGATGAGGCTTTCTGCTCCCATAAAGCCTTGGAAACGCTGTACAGGGTCACTATGAGTCAGAACCAACTCCATGGCACATAACAAAAACAACATTCTGTCTTGGAGAGTTGATATGAATCAGAACACAAGTCGAAGGCAGTAGGTCTGCGTTTTGGTTTTACAGTAGATATAAGGAACCTTAGAGTCCTAGTGTGGTGCTATAGGATAAGCACTGGACTGCTAACCACAGGTTGGTAGCTCATACCCATCAGTCCCTCTTTGGAAACCCTCTACAGGATCACTATGAGTTGGAAGCAGCTCAACAGCACTTAGCAGAGTGGTGCCATGATTAAAGCACTTGGTTAATACTGAAAGGCCCTTAGTTCGAACCCACCAGCAGATCCCAGGATAAAGATATGGCAGTCTGACTTAAACGCTTGGAAACCATATATGCAGTTCTATTCTTCCCTATAGGGCAGCTATGAGTTAGAATCAACTCGACAACAGTGGGTTTTTTAGTTTAATTGTAGTAGATATATTTAGGATATGAAACTAATTGCACTTGATAATTAATTGAAAGTTAGACATTAAGAAGCATGGAAATATCCACTGTGACTCTTATGTTTCCAATCCATGTAACTGGTTAGAGAATTGTACTGTTCTCTGAAATAGACAACAGGAGTAGGAGTAGGTTTGGAGGGACACTGGCTGTCTCAGTTGAGTTCCATTTCATCATTGTAGGTAAGAGCCCAGGATGCCTGTGTCTGGCAGGCAGATTTATACAAGGGTGAGAAGAAGAGTGACCAGGCATGGAATCCTGTGGAACATCAATGTCTAAGCAAAGGATTAGAAGTAGGAACCATTGGGAAAACCCATAGCAGAACCAAGAATTATAGCAGAAACAAGAATGGATTGTTGTTCTGACTTACAATGACTCTATTTAGATTCTTCAAGGAACAGTTGGTGGGTTTGAATTGCTGACTGTGTGGTTAGCCATCAGTGTTTCTCACATAATGCTAAGCCAGGACCCAAGAAGAAACAAAGGGTGGTTAAATTAAGTAGGGAAGCAGAGAAGTTTAAGATGTGACACTTGTATGTCACTTGTAGCAGACAGGACATGGAAATATGAGGACTAC